TGATGATGATGATGAAAAATCAGCTATGTTTTCTTGTTTAGCTGGAGATTAGAGTGTTTTTTTTTTTCCTTTTCCTTATTAAATTAAAAAAAATGCCAAAAAAAGGGATAAATAAAAATTTGGTATTGTACAGTGGGGAAGAAATGTTGATGGTGGAAGAAGAAGAAGGTGGTGAGAGGTGTGAAGAGGGAGATGAAAGATTCCATTTTTTTCCCTTTAATTTAAATGAAATCTCTAACAGAGGAAATGGGAAAAAAAAAGCGAAAATTATTTATTCGATCATGTCTTTTATGTAGATAATTTTATGGGTTAATTGCTAAAAAAATCACTGACTTTTGTTAAATTGCAAATTAATTTTAATTTTTTTAATTTTACAAATAAATCTCAAACATTTATTAATTATTGTAATTTTGTCTTAAAATTGAATTTCGGCAATTCGCCGCCGCCTGTCTTCGGCCAATCTCGCCGGAATTGAAATTTTTTATGTCATTGTGTAGCTTTCCTTCCGGGCAACAACATATCCGAAGTTCGTGAATTACGACAATAAGAGGTCTAATTTTTCGGTAAAAGCAAGTAGATCTACAAATGTTATACACCGTTCTTTCGCAAAATTTTCGGCGACCCGCTTTGACCCACACGAATTCAAAGGCACCGTTGAACTCCTCTTGTCGAGCCGCTTCTATTGACATTCACCATCGCCGAGAACAGTGACTTTTTCTGGCGACGAGTTTTCCGGTCATCTATTCACTGAGAAATTGAACCCCTTATTGTCGTAATTTTTACGCGAACTTCGAATATGTTGTTGCCCGAAAGGAGAGCTACACGATGACATAAAAAAAATTCAATTCCGGCGAGGTTGGCCGGAGACGGGCGGCGGCCGGTGGCGACGGATGGCCGGAATTCAATTTTGAGACAAAAGTGCAATAATTAATAAAGGTTGAGATTTATTTGCCAAATTGAAAAAATTGAGATTATTTTGCAATTAAATGAAAGGTCGTGATTTTTTTGGCAATTAACCCTAATTAATTCCTTGTGTTTTTAATGAGGAAGTGTTGTTAAATTAAACGAGCCTAACTCGGCTCGTTAAGGCTCGAGTTCGGCTCGATTCGAGGTCTTAACAAGTCGAGTTCGAGCTCATTAAAATCTCGTTTGGCTAACGAGTTGAGCTCGGCTCGATAAAGCTCGTTAAAGCTCGAAAATAATATTTTTATATAATTTTTATAGTTCCGCTCGTCAAAGCTCGAGATTGGCTCGTTAAGACTCTAGATCGAGTCTTTAACGAGCCGAGTTTGAGCTCGATTTTAGGCTCGTTTATTTAACGAGCTCGACTCATTAAGGGCTCGAGCACGAACATCCTAGACTCGAGCTCAGCTCGGCTCGGTTCGTTTACGGCCATATCAGACTCAAAAAAAAAAAAAAAAAAGGAAAAGAAAAAGAGGAGGAGTATGAGGCCATATCAAACTAAAAAAAAAAATGGAAAAGAAAAAGTGAAGGAGTATGAGGAAGGGGGGCAATAGAATAGGAGTATAGGACTGTGGAGGCTGCAATTATGTAGTTGAAATTGAAACTGTAGTTGGTTGTTGGGCAGAAGGTTACAGTTAGTTATTGGTGGAAAATGGCCTCGAGGTTTGATTGTTCTTATCCTTTGGATTTTACTGAACAGTGAATAGAGGGGCACACATTTTTTGCAATGCACTGTCATTTTCTCACCTCAAATATTACCACCACAATAGAACTAAACGGCTCATCAGTTCTCATCAATAGATCCACACACACTTACACCATTATGTATAAATCTGACTATGAAAAAGCCTCAAATATTACTACCAATTAGTGCTATTAAATTAAACGAGTCTGGTTCGGCTCGGCTCGAGTTCGAAGCCTTAACAAGTTGAGTTCGAGCTCATCCAAAGCTCATTTGGTTAATGAGCCGAGCTCGGCTCGAGTCGCTAATGCTCGAAAAGAGAATTTTTATATAATTTTTTATAATTCGACTTGTTAAAGCTCGATATCGGCTCGAACTCAAGGCCTTAACAAGCCGAGTTCGAGCTCATTCAAAGGTCATTTGTTTAATGAGCCGAGCTCGGCTCGAGTTGCTAACGCTCGAAAAGAGAATTTTTATATAATTTTTTATAATTCGATTCGTTAAAGCTTGATATCGGCTCCAACTCGAGGCCTTAACAAGCTGAGCTCGAGCTCGATTTTTAGCTCGTTTAGTTCTTTAAAGCTCGAGCTTGAGCACCTTAAACTCGAGCTCGTCTCGGCTCATTTACAACCCTACTACCAATTGATCATACTATGAAAAACCTCAAATACCTCAAAGATTACTACCATATAATTAAATGCACCGTGGAAATGAAGATACAGAATTGATGAGGAATTAAAACTGATCAAAATCAGTTTTCATTGGAATATTAATTTTTCACTTTTAACTCCAAATTTAACTAAACTCGAGTATCATATCAATTATCTCTTCATACATTACATCAATTTTAATTCACTATTTATCTACTCACGTTTTTTTTACTACTTGTCATTTAAATCATATATCCCAAACTTTTACGACACATCACATCAAATTTAATCATTACATTTTAAACATTATCAACTCATAATCTCTCTCATCACACTCAATCAACTTTATTCAAAACAACTCATTTTAACACAAGATCAAAATTTTGATCAATTTTAATTAGTTGTGTGTGTGTAAGGATTTGAAAAAAAAAGGATCAATTTTAATTACTTTTGACGGCTTATCAATCACCCCGTGATGAATTCATTTTACCCAACACACAATTGTAGTATAGTCATTTTTTTCATCGTTGAATTAAACCATACTCACAAGGGTGTGCATTTAGGGGCAGATCCTAATAAGGACCAGTGTGGGCCTATGCCCACACTGGAAAAAAAAATACTACCTTATATATTCTACTCAAAAAAGTTTAATGCTCAATTAATAAAATAAATAAATAAATAAATAAAAACAATGGGAACACAAAGAAGGAGAAAAAAAGAATGGAAAAAAAAAACATTGTTCTTGTTTTTTTAGTGAAAGTGAATCTAGTCCTTTTTTTTATTATTATTAGACTTGATATAAAAATAAAAAATTTAAACTTGTAGTTAATTTAATGTTGTTGCTTAAAAGACACCATATTTAACTTTGTGTGTGACTGCTAAATTGTACGGCTCTTAGAAGTTTGATATTTTAGATCAAACATTTTACACATTATGATTTATTTTTCCTATCCATTTATGGAGAAATATTCTTATAAATAGTCTTGGCAAAAAAGTACATGTGAAAATATTTCAAAATCAGCTACTTTTATTCCAAATATACTTGAGGTGAATCATAATATTGTTAGGCAAAAAAAAAATAAAAAAATGTAGAGACCTTATTGTAGAGTTGTACCAAACTATGAAAAACTCATAAGAATTTCTATTAATGTCTATTTTGTATTTATACTTTATTATGGGGTATTATATTCTAAAAATAAATAGGCCCCCACCGATATTATGATCTAGATCCGCCCCTATGTGCATTGTTTATATAGTGGAAAAAGTAACTCAATCACTGCACTATTGTTGTGAATATTGTGAAATCTACCATGTACTAGATCATAAATACAGTTGTGAGGGTGAAATCTACCATCTACTGAATTATAAATAACACTAGTATAATACTCGTGATTACACGGGTGTTGAGTTGAAAAATATATTATAAAAGTTATTGGTAAATAAAATTTTATTTAAAATTTTTGATGGATGAATTAATAAAAAAAAGAACTGACAATACAAAAAATTATTTGTAAATCGTAATTTGGAGATAAATATGAGAGGAAATTATAAGATGATAAGATTGCTACTATCTCAAATTAAAAAGAAAATTTTTACTAAGAAAAAAAAATAACAAAATTAAATATACACCTACCAAGTTTGAAAAAAGTTATTTATGTCTATAAGAAGCATGATTCCAAAACAAATAATTAATATACAAACAACATTACGAAGTATAGATTTTTGTCATGTCAGCATTCGAGGCGTGTGAGCCTGTCACTTAGGCTCAACATACATAGGGAAGGATTTCTAATTATAAGAGAATCAACGATGGAGATTTTTTTTCTTTTTTTTTTTTTCCTTTTTTTTTTTTTTGGCTAAAATGCTTTGAAAAGTTGTATTTTAAGTGGAGAATCTTGTTTGGGTAATGGATGGTTTGAGAACGACACCATCAATAAGGATTGATGTACTGATTAGGACAAAGACTTCAGAGGCACATAAAGATCTTGAAACTTAATTTAATTACAAGATTCTTCATTTATGCTGCTGTTCTGCTCCAACTTTTTAAACCACATTCTTCTGTTATTGATTAGGATAATTACATAAAAACTGCGGTTTTTCTATGAAGCCAACAGTTGGCTCCATAGTGGAGCCAACCTTCTATACAGTTCGTTGATTACTTAAATAACACTAATATGATTTTATTAATATAGTAGGTTTACTTGTTGTATATAGAAGGTTGATTCCACTATGGCGCCAACTGTTGGATTCATAGCAAAACCGATAAAAACTGACACTTTCTGGATACAACTATCTGATGCTCTCTCCTCTTATTCTTAATCATTTTAGTCCATTGAGTCTCAAAATAGTAAGAATATCCAGTATGTTATTGTGGCTATTCTTGTGATTCGGTCTTTTTTTTCAATTATAACACCAAATTTTGCTCTAGAATGAGGCTTCAGAAGGAAAAGCAAATGAATATAAAAACCGCCAACACAAAAGATCTGTCAGCTTCATATAATGAGCTACCGTCAAAGGTTGCCATTCTCAGATACTAGTTCAAGAAGCAAAAACTCACAATGTGAAACGCTAAGAAACCCCTTCCATGTAAAAATTACGGGCGTACCTAACTGCAGTATGGATCTATCTATTCACAATTCAGAAAGAAGTCTGATTTGTCCCAACCCATTTCACCAAACCAGCCAAAAAGAACGCAGGTAGTTCGATTACAGAGGTGCAGCTTGTATGGTGTCATGATCAGCATCATGCTTCAGTAAGCGTAAAACGAGTGACCGTAATTTGTCGACAAGTAGCAGAAGGTCATGCTTCCAGGACCACGATGGGGCATTCAGAGCACGAACGGAATTCAGACAAACAATAAGGGTCCCTCCTTCGTGGAGGAGGACCTGCACATTTACATAAAGATTGCAAGAAAGTTTAACCTTCATTAGTGAACATATCCACACTCATCGTGTATGTTTAATTTGGATCGATAAATTTGTGTGTATCAGTGTGGAGAAGGATGCACAAAGTAAAATAAAGAAGTATGAAAGAAAGAAACACAGTTCCTTAAGATACACTGATGTAGGTGTCCTATATATATTAAAGTATTTGCATATGGCCAAACATTATCTCAGAGCTGGAAAATTAAACTCACAGTTAGCCAAAGTGGTAAAACCCCAAAAACAGACGTAAGAGAGGCCAAAACAATGCTGGATAAAGCAAGTGCCACGTTTTGCTTGACCTACATTAATATCAAAATACCATCAAGACAAAAGGGGATTCGAAAAAAAAAAAAAAAAAAAAGTAGTTAACACTACCAAGAAATAAGATATATACACAAACCAAGGAGTTCGTTTGACGAGCTTTGGCCACACAGAATGGAACCCCTGAGATATTGTCTTGCAGCAAAAGGACATCGGCAACAGCTATTGCAGTTGCACTGGCACGCTCTGCTAGAACAATGCCCACTGTGGCTGCAGCCAAGGCAGGTGCATCATTAATACCATCACCTACCATAATTAAGCCCCCACCTGCAAAAAAAAAAAATCAAAAGCTGAAGCAGATAAATCACATGTTCAATTTATACTTGGAAGAGTATAAATAGTGTCTCGGCATGGTTTAACTGATAATATTAGCATTTTCGAAACCAATACCCTTGAGCGCAAAATATCAAATAGAAGAACTCTTTCTCACCAACTCATTCATTCACACACATACCAGCACAAACCAACATTAACTGTTTTGAGCAAACAGATAGTACTAAGTGAAAACCTGTATCTCTTGAAATACTTGTCACATGATAAAGTTTGTCCTCCGGCTTGAGGCTGTAGTGAACTTCTTTGATGCCTACTGCATTAGCCACTCTCCATGCACTTAATTCATGATCTCCCGTAAGCATCATAACACGTAAATTTCCTTGCTCTTGCAATGACTTTATAACATCCAAAGAACCAGCTCGAGGCTTATCTTCAAAATGAAAAAGTGTCACCTGTACACGAGGAAGAAACAAATGAGAGGTGCCTGTTATATTTCACTTCTTCTTGATATTTTTAATCTCCAACAAAATTAAAATAATATGGTGCATGCTTCTGTAGAACAGCCATTTTCAACCAAGTTTCCGAGAACCCGCGCCCTAACTTTCCAATTCTTGTTCATGCTATCACCTGGTCATCTGCTATAGAAGCCGCATTGTCTAGTTTGCCTTTAATTTCTATGTATAAATAAGAAAAACATTTTTTTCCTGGTGCAGTTTCATAAAGCTTGGGTGAGGCTTCTTCAAATAATAAAATAGCCATTTCATTCAGATGTCCTAAAGCCTATATTCTATACTCTTTCTTGTAACACACCGCAGGAGAAGAACATGTGAGCAATGATAGTAAACTATCATGAAGAGGTATAATTTTTCAAAACTGCTTTGAAGTTTTAAACCTTTTAATTAGTTTCACGAAAGACTTAAAAAGAATCACCTTGTTATTGACAGAAAGAGCTGCACGAACAAAGTCATCTCCGTAAGATGAAGAGCTAATTGCCTGTTTGATCTTTTTTGATTCATCATCAGACATAAAAAGAGAAGTGATGTACTCCACAGAACCAATTGAAGCTGTCAATGGTCTACCGCCTCCAAATCCTGGCTATTGCAGACCGAATGATCACATATTTAATTCATTAGATCCTATGTATAATGAGGAGTAGCAGAATTAAAAGAACTTCCCACCCATGTCAGAGACTCAGAATAATGCTAAGTTCATTTAGCTGACTTTATCAAGTTAAACACCATTTTATCCAAGTAGTAACCTTTCTTTATGAGCAAAAAGATTCAGAAACAGCAGCAAGGTCAATAGCAATTAAAATAAATCTGCTTTACACTAGATTAAGCGAAAGGCTACACATTGAGGTCTGGTCGCTGTTTATTTACTGCATTTTAAAACCAACGGACTCAAGTGGATGGGGGCTTAACAAATTTATTACTAGTAAACTTTGGGGAAAAAATATCCTAAAACTTTAAGTAGTACCTCAATGCTAGATATTGTTGCCAGAAGACCTCTGCCAGGAAGATTCTCAAAACTCTGAACAGAAACTGGAGGGAGATCCTTCCCAACACTATGGTCCACAACAGCTCTGTAGAATAAACGGGCAATATATAAATATAATTATATCCAAATGCTCATTCATTTTCAGTTTTTTAAAAAAAAATAATGGTCAGTTTCATAATCCAAGATTCAAGTCGAATATAAGCAGGCTCTTATCCGCATCATCAGAACTCCAGTCACGTCAACCTCATATCAGGCTCATAGAAAATGTAGATTGTATCTCATGAACCATGCCACAAATATTTTCTTTAACGAAAGTAATTTTTCTGCTCAGGCATCTTTAACAGCTTAAATTACTACTGTGCACTAGATCAGGTCATCAGCCTCAATATGTGACTAGCCCAAAACTCAGTAAGACTGAATAAAATACTTGAGAAAAAGGCCATATTACAATCCCCCCACCAGCATATAATGACTGAAATGCAGTAAAATTAAGTAACCTTCCAATAGGGTGAGTAGTCCCCTTCTCCATAGCAGCAGCCACAGCAAGAGCTTCTTTCTCACAGCTTGGTACACAACAAGTAGCAACTTGCTTCTCTTTGTTGCTATTATGTCCATGTATTGGTTCAATTGCTTTGCACATGAAGTCCCCAGTAGTTAATGTCCCTGTTTTATCAAACGCAATATTATGGCATGAAGCTAGTGCATCGAGGACATGACCTCCCTTAAGCAAGATCCCCTGTTGAAAAGGTAAATGTCAATGATGTTCTTCAAGGCAGCTAGCACATGGTTATGTAAAAAACTCAGTTTTGTTTATTCAAATTTTACAAATCAATTTTTTGATCTCACACATCTAAGTCTCACATCACAGAGCTTAAAAAATCTTTTTTAAGATAAATGCAAGATGTCTGCAGTTATATATTGACGATTTAATTTCTACGTGACTGGGTTTGAATGGAGCAAAATAATATTTGACACAGTAATGTATATTACGCTTGTTAATATAGCAGCTCTTTATAAGTCCTGGGTTTGTATCAAGTACTACAAGTCTACAACTAGGCTACTACCATAGTGCCTTTATAATTACAATCAATTTTACGAAAGATGGTGTGACCCATGAAATCCTAGGGAAGTTATAAATTGGACTGGTGAACATTACACATTACAATGGATTGACAAATACCTTTCTTGCACAAGCACTAATTGCGGTTGCATATGTCAAAGGTGCCACAGCCAGTGCACATGGTGAAGCAGCTACCATAAGTCCCAATGCCCGGTAAACTGATCCTCTGCAAACTAGAGAACTAAAACAAATTATTATATCACAGGGTCATTGAAAGCCACCAAAACTACCCACAAGAACAGAAGCTTGCATGCACATACAGATACACAAAAAATTTGTTAGAAAATACAAGTAAAAGGTCATGGCTTCAACTCCGAGGTTAGGTGATGATTAGCTTAAGCATATATTACCAGATATATGGTTCTTTCTCAGGCTTTCTTTTTCTAAGGTTTACCATTTCTACTTTTGCCCTCCTATTTTTCTGTTGCTGTCCACTTACTGGTGGAAGGTCATGTTGTTAACACGATGAAATTTGTAGGAATAGTTTCGTCATAACCAAGAAAGAAAAATAAGAACAAAAAATGACGTTGTAGTATACCTGGTGTACTGAAGAAAGGCCACTTAAAGAGAACTGGCCCCATCAATGCAATGGCAGCTGATAAAATTATAACTGCTCTGCTGTACTGCTCGCCAAACTTATCTAGCCATTTTTGGAGCTTAGGTTTACTCTGCTGAGCCTCTTCAGTTAATTGCACAATTCTACTCAGCATAGATTCCTTCCATGTCTTTTTTGCCTATATTGAACTTCTGGCTTAGGAATGATCGATGGCACCAAAAATTAAAATTTTTCCTAATAATTCAGTCCTAGAACAATATAACATACACTTATCATCTTTCAATCAAACTATCCCAACAAGACCTCTTTGCTAATTATCCAAAATAAATAGAAAAAGAACCTGAAACTAAAATCACATAAATCCTGCACATGTTTTATGATCCCCAACTCCAATTTTCTGTAATATTATTAATAAACATAACAAAGTTCCCATTGGTTGATAACAGCTTAATCGTCGAGACAGAAACTATTAAAAATGACTCAATACTCTTGAACATATTATGTTATTCCGGTCAAGTGATACAACAAAAACTTCAAAATAAGGTTACTGGATACTTCAAGGGAGGATATTAATCGAATGGACACATTCGAAGAGTTGGAGGAAAAGGAATAAACCAATAAAAAACATGCACATTTGTCTTTACTTATGTTTTCAGGAATGTCTAAAAACTTCACTGAGATGCTATGACACAGATGCTATGAGACAAACAATTTTTGTATGCATACCTTAACAATCATCATACCATCCAGGTTCCTAGCACCACCAGGAATGCTATCTCTAACACTCTTTTCGACAGGTTTAACCTCTCCAGTCAAATGCTCTATAGTAACAGTTGATCTGCCTTGGACTACATCACAATCCACTGGCACCGACTGCAAAAGGTGAAAATAATCATTAAGATGGTTCCAATTAACTTCACACATATATAATAGGTACAGAAAAACTTAAGAAAGGCCATTCAAACATATATAAACCAGAAGTTATTAGTGGTTCACTACTGACTGACCAAAAACCAAAAACACTTCCACGAAAATTATAATGTACTAATACTAGAATTCACAAGGTATAGACGATCTTAGTCTTCCTTAAGACTTACAGCTCATGGTTATAAAACTAAGGCAGAAGGAACAGTTCAATACTTGATAGATTGATAACTTAAGTCCAAAGGAAAAAACATTGGAAAAAGGTTGGCATTCTTCACGAAAGAAGATAGCATCTCCACAGTCTCAACTTTCAATGCACGTAATAATATTTTATGTCCTGGACAAAAGCACCCTATACTTGGTAGAATAACAAACATGGAAATGTTAATGAAGAGTTTCTTCACAAGCGCCAAACCAATAAAGATATACAAGGTCGAGAAAATGGAGTTAGTTTTTATTGGGAATAAGAAACACCAGCACACATTTGCGTCAAGACAAAGATCTTTTGCTAGCCTGTTATTCGAACTACAACACCTTAAAAGTGTGACCAAAAAAAGAAAAATGCTGTCAAGCTTGAATGGATCTTAGGTTAAACCAAGAAAGTTAATGAACACTTGATAACAATTTAGTAAGGATCCATGATGGAGTACTTTTGGTTACAGATGAAACCAGACACTCAACATTATTGAATATTAGTCAATATGCTCTCTCATATACTGGTCAGGTATGTTTTTAAGCATCAAATAAACATGTTCAAGAGACAAAACTACAGAGTTTATACAACGACCATGGAAGCAAGAGACTATACAACGACCATGGAAGCATGCCTACATACCCACTCCTAAAAAGTATCGACCAGAAACGCATTTCATACCCTGTAAAACCACTATCCCTTTTACCACTGAAAAACTATAGAAAGCTCAAAAGCAAAACATCTTCTGACAACTAATTGGGAATGGTTCAAGGGTTTTCGCTATTCACTAGTTTTCAATAAGGGGTATTCTATGATAGCTCACATTTGTAGTTCCAAAATTGGTCAACCAAAGTTATACACTTCATAGCACTCAGGAACACATATATATCGAGTTGATCAACCGGATTCGTAGAGATAAGTAACTATATGAAATTCATATAGTGGAAAGCAACATTGTGCATGGGAAGACATCATTACACACATCCAGTGGCAACAAATAGACCATGAAAAATCAAAATTGTTAAACCACGGACCTCACCAGCTTTCACCAATATGTACGATCCGACTTTCAAATCGTTCACAGGGACTTTGTGGTACATCAATTCTGAAAAACTTGGAGTGTTCCCATTCTCCGAATTCAGAACAAGAGCAAATTCAGGGTGGTTCTCTTTCAGTTCTTTGACATCAATCTTGGACTTCCTCGTAAAATACTCCTCCGCAATATGAGCTAGATTGAACATGGCCAGAAGCAATCCACCTTCCAGAGCATTCCCCATAAACAATGACGCAAATGCCGCCAGAGCCATAAGCACGTGAATGTTGATTTTGCCACCCATAACATCCATGGCAGCATCATACGACGCCGAAATCTGTACATCAAAAGAAGTTCACATTAAAGGGGAAAAGATCAAAGTCTCAGAAGCTCAAAATTTTTTCAATTACCCCAACTAAGGGAAAGGCGAGGAGAGTGAAAGCTTGCTGGAAAGGCTTGACGGCCGGCTTGGGCAGAAAGTACGGGCATACGGCGGCGGCTAGAAAGAGCGCAGCCGCGCAGCAGCAGAGCTCCAGATGCTCTCTCAGGAAGCCGGCTAGCTCAGGCCACCGCACAACCTGCGCAAAGGTGAGAAAAGCTTTCTGAGATTTGGTCAACGGAGTATCGCAATCATGGTGGCCATGGCAATGGTGGCGGTGATCGTGGTGGTGCTCGTGACCATGGTCGTGGTGGTGGTCCAGGTGGGCTTTGACAGAGCACTTAACGATGGGCAGACGGAGGATTGGGTGCTGGGAGAACGGGTGTATGGGTTTTGAGGGGAATCGGAAATTTCTGTGACTGATTTTCAGCTTGAATTTTGTGGGTTTGCAGTTTGAAGGGAGGTTAGAAATCGTGAAGAGACGGAGAGTTTCCATGGTTGGGGGAAGCTGAAAAGCGATTTGGGGCTCACGCCATTGATGTGTTGAAGAAAAAACAAGTGAGGTGTGAGGCTCACGAAATTGTTACGGTTATTCACTATTCTTGTTGAGCAAGAAGATTGGTGGACTCACTGTGAGTATTTGGATGCCGTCATAATTGTACTATTTTCATCACACCATGTGCTCATTTTATTTTATTTTATTTATTTATTTATTTATTTTTTACATTTTTGTAAGCTGGATTCAGCTAGTTAATAGTACTTAATATAGTATATAAATAAAACAAGAGAAAGTGAAAATAATTCTCTCTCTATGGAAATAATTCTCTCTCTCGAGACAATTAACCTTGTCACTGCGACCTTCGATCCGGGAGTAAATCCGCAGGCGCAGATCATCGATCCAAATTTTCCACCACTATCAGCCACCACTTCCCAGGCGTCTAAGCGCCCGAGAACGCGGAAAAGGCTAGGAGAGGGCCTGGAACATCAAGATACTCCTCAATTCGAGACACCAGCCTTTCCACCGAGAGACTCTCATGCAGCTGGTAGTATGCCCCCACTCCGATGGACTTTTCGAGATACGATTAATAAGCATAGAGCACATGTCCAGCTGGAGCAAGAAGATGAAGAGGTGTTAGCTGAGGAAGAGAATGATGTCTCGGTTGATCTCTCTTGTCCGATCCCGGACATTAAAACAACCCAACGTTTTATTGATAACATCAGCAATGAGTGGAAAAATGCGGTGGTCGTCAAGCCCTTTGATGAATCTATCACCATGGCGTCCTTGTACAATAGATTGACCAAAATGTGGCCCTCTATGGCAGGATGCACTATGATGGACCTAGAAAATGGATACTATCTCATCCATTTTCGTATTCATGAGGATGCGGTGCAAGCTCTGACTGGTGGTCCGTACGTTATCGGAAATGGCTATATGCATGTCCAGCCGTGGACCTTAGATTTTGATGCAACACAAGCAGAAGTAAAGTCCACAGTTGCGTGGATACGCTTACCTGGACTGCCCGTTCACTTTTACCATAAGAAAATCTTTCGCGTAATTGGAAGGATAGTGGGCACGGTTGTCAAAATCGACCATCAAACGGCCGCCCTAACCCGTGGAAAATTTGCAAGACTCGCGGTGGTTGTGGATATTTCCAAGCCGCTTTGTGTTAACTTCTCCATCAACGACAAAATACAGAGGGTAGTTTACGAAAATATGCCCATAATTTGCTACCACTGTGGACGCCTAGGACACTCAAGCTCTTCTTGCATTCATAACCCGCCACCGCAAGAAACTTCGGCGACCTCTGAAACCCAACGCGCAGATCAAGCACTGACAACGCATGGAGACGTCATCGATTCCGCCGCCAAAGGGTCAACAGCCGCCGAGGGGGACAAATCGTCGTATGGGCCCTGGATCCAGGTCCCACAGAAATCTCGACAACAAATTTCACGAAGAGATAAGGGAACAAACCAAATCGCAAAATATCCGCGCACAAATCCCAATTCCGGCTCCCGATTTGATGTATTGGAAAAGGATAATTATCAAAACGACTATTCCAATTTCGAATTTCAAACTCACTCAGATGCAAATATCAAGGAAAGAGGGGTAAGGGATTGGCAGAAAATGACATATAAGAAAAAGGGGAAGACACAGAATAGTGGGCCGGAGATACAAGATGGGCCTAAACATAACACTAGTGGACTTGTGGAGCAAAATGGGCCTAAAGAAGCAGCTCGAGTAACAATAGTTCCGGCCCGTCATCTGCGAAAACAAACATCAGATCCTAAGAAGAGTAACGTAATGACCATTTCGGGACCCTCGACTCAAGAGCCAAAACAGAGTAAAGCAGGCCCAGTTATCGTTGGAGCCGGTCTGGACCCGTCCAAGCATAGGGCCATTGTTATTGCAGAAGAAAATATTATCCAGGGGCCCAACCACAATAACTGTTACGATAAGGTAACCACCATAACAGGTGACGCGGAGATGATGGATGGTGAGTATGAGGTGCAGCTCCAGGAACCATGGCCGGAGGAGATTCATATAGGGACGGTGACCGGAGTTGAGGTGTTACCACAACCCATGCACAACGATGATGAGCATGAACAGGGAGACTACCCTCTCGTTTAATCTCAGAGCTAAACATCTTTGCCACTGTTTTCCATGATTATTATTTCTTGGAATGTTCAAGGAGCTGGGTCGCCTGCCTTTCGGGGAGCCTTCTCCACCTTAACTCGTCAACATAAACCGGATATTGTAGCAATCTATGAACCACGTATTAGTGGGGAAGCTGCTGATAGATTTGTACAGTATAGTAAGTTCGAGAACTCTTTTCGGGTTGAAGCTCGGGGATTTTCAGGCGGTATATGGGTATTATGGAAGGATAGTGTGCAACTTGAAGTGTTGGAGTTCTCGCAGCAACTTGTGCATGTTAGGGCAGGGAAGGATGGCGAGATATGTAAAATCTCGTTTATATATGCGAACCCCAACCCTCTTCATCGACGTCGATTATGGCCTATCCTGGAGAGAATAGCTTTGAGTACCCCAGACCCTTGGCTTATAGGGGGCGACTTCAACTGCATCCTACATCATTATGAGAAAGTAGGGGGGTCCAATCGTTTTTGTAACCTTAGTAAAGAATTCGCAGAATGGATGTTCTCGCATGGTATTCAAGAGGTGGCAACGGACGGTCATAAATATACGTGGGTTCGAAACAGTCAGTCAGGTAGGGTGATGGAGAAGCTTGATAGATTTGTTGCGAACACCACTTGGATGGAGAAGTTTGAGACAAGTAGGCTTCGTATCCTTCCCCGCATTCAGTCCGATCACTCGCCAATTATGGTGGATATTAGGCGCCTTGAACACGTTGCACGAGGAGAAAAGCCATTTCGTTTCCTAGCATCGTGGTTACTCCATTCAGATTTCCATGCCATGTTACATAATTCGTGGCAGTCTTCACTTTCATTCCCAGAAGCGGCAAGACAATTCACTATAAAAGCAAGAGAATGGAACCACTCGGTTTTTGGAAATATATTTAACCGAAAAAAGAGGCTTCTTGCTCGTATAGGAGGAATCCAGCGTAGCAGGAATTTCTACTTTTCGGCAAAACTCATGGCACTAGAGAAGGAGCTGAGAGCGGAGCTAGAGGATGTTATTATCCAGGAGGAATTGCTCCTTCTTCAGAAATCCACACGTGATTGGATGCACTTGGGCGATAAGAACACTTCCTACTTTCATCGACAACTTAAATTCCAGAGACGAAGTGGCAAAATTATGGAGTTAATTGACGAGTCGTGGAACATTATAAAAGATCAACAGGAACTTAGGAATTTAGCCACGACTTTCTTCCATAACATCTACACGGGAGGGAGCCCACCGGCCGAGGCTGAGAGCGGGCCCAATTACTTCCAAAGATGTAGTCAGGAGAGGGTGCAGGCCATGCAGGAAGTGATTTCGGATGCTGAAATTTTGTCGGCGCTCCAAAATATGGGGTCCTTAAAAGCCCCCGGGCTCGATGGTTTAAATGCTTTGTTCTTCAAGAAAAATTGGGACACTGTGGGCTCTTCCGTTAGAGATTTTATTCGCACTATGTGGGTAACTGGCGTGGTCCCGCCCGAGATAAACCAAACTCTGATTGTTCTCATTCCTAAGGTCGATAATGCTTCCTCCATTAAACAGTTCAGGCCGATAAGTCTTTTGAACGTCATATATAAACTTTTCACGAAAGTGTTGGTTAATCGTTTGAAAGAAACCTTACCTGATCTCATCCATCCGGCTCAAGCAAGCTTCGTCCCGGGCCGCCAAATCATCGATAATATCGTAGTTGCTCACGAATTAATCCACTCCATGCGACACAAACAAGGAGCGAAGGGACACATGGTTATTAAAGTGGACCTCGAGAAGGCTTACGACTTTCTACGATGGGACTTCATTGAACAAACACTGGAGCTCGCTGGGTTTCCTTCTATCATGATTGCGGCTATAATGGCTTCTGTGCGGTCAGCCTCGATGCGATTATTGTGGAGTGGGACATTAGGGGAGGAGTTTACCCCCACCAGGGGGTTCGTCAGGGGGACCCAATATCTCCGTACCTTTTTGTGTTGTGCATGGAGAGATTGGCAAATTATAGATGTGGCGGTAAACCAAAATTCCTGGAAACCGATTTCTATTGGGAGAGGGGCAGTTTCGGTCCCATTTTTGATGTTCACCGATGATCTTCTACTATTCACGGAAGCCTCGCACGATCAGGTAGGGGTATTACGGCAAGTTCTCGACCATTTTGTGACATGTCGGGCCTCAAAGTTAGCTCAGAAAAGACTCAAGTTTTCTTCTCTCGTAATGTTGTGCATGCACATCAACATCAATTGGCAGATGCTTTACGTTTCAAATGGACGGATAACTTGGGGAAGTATCTTGGAATGCCAGTCATTCACGGCAGAGTCACTAAGTCCACATACTCACATATCCTGGATAAGGCGGAGGAACGACTTGCCGGATGGAGGATGAAATTGCTCTCTTTGGCGGGACGCGTCACTCTTACCCAATCGGTGATAAGCTCTTTACCTTATTTCACCAGGCAAGCGGCTTTTTTGCCGAGTGCTATTACGGAAGGATTGGAACGCCGCAGCCGAGCATTCATTTGGGGAGGCTCCACTGAAAAGCGGAAAATTCATTTAGTCGCTTGGAAGGAAATTTGTAAGCCGAAGTATGAGGGAGGACTAGGCATTAAGGATCTCAGTAAGATGAATCTTGCGCTATTAATGAAACTAGGATGGAGCCTCCTTACAAAGAAAAACACCCTATGGGTTCGCCTTATGATTGCAAAATACGGGATATTTTCCTCGAACAATTTGGATAATTCGAGATGCCGTCAAGGGTCTCCCTTAATGAAGGCGGTCTGTAAGATTTGGCCCACGATTTTAAGAGAGGCTCGATGGATGGTTGGAAATGGGGAGACGGTGAGGTTTTGGCTCGATTCATGGGTTGGTCCAATAGGTCCTCTAATTAATTATGTCTTCCAGTGGCCAGAGGAAGAACATCTGAACTTAAAAGTGAGGGATTATGTGGATGATTTGGATAACTGGAATTGGGCTGAATTTCACGGCAAACTTCCTTCAGCAGTCATTATGAGAATTGCGGGAATTATGCCGCCAAGAGGGATAGCGGGGGCAGATCGTCTTGTGTGGGGAGCTGCGAGAGATGGAGTTTTCTCTACAAGGACCGCTTATGATACTTTAACTCATCATGAGACCGAGCAGGATCGTCCTTTATGGAAGTTTATTTGGAAGTCCCCGGTCCCGCAGCGAGTCAGGATGTTCCTATGGGTGGCAGCTCGTGACCGTCTATTGACCAATGTAGAAAGGGCTCGGCGTCATCTCACCAACTCGCCGGAATGTGACATGTGTGGTGCTCCTGAGAATACGTTGCATGTGTTACGTGATTGCCCGATTACGCATAGAATGTGGAGGAGACTTATTCCGCAGGGTACTGAAGCAGGTTTCTTCCAAATGGATCTGCACACATGGCTAAGGAGCAACTTGAGCGGGAAGCAGCTGGGTAGAGGTATGGCCTGGATCAGCACGTTTGGTTTTGCCGCTTGGGTTTCCTGGAAAAACCAGAATGAGCGAATATTTAAGGGACGAAATCTAAATTGTGAAGCTCGCTGTATTGAAGTGCTGTATAAATCGGAAATGTATGCGAAGGCGACAGAGGCATATGCCAAGGCGGGAGCTACTATGTATACATTACGCATGATTCAGTGGAATACTCCGGATCCGGGTTGGGTCAAAGTTAATTCAGATGGGGCCTTTAGTCATACTACGGGAGTTTGTAGTGCCGGCGGAGTGATTCGGAATGAATTCGGACAATGGATTAATGGTTTTCCTATGAATATAGGGATTGGGACTATTACTTGTGCCGAGCTATGAGGCTTGTATCAGGGACTACAACTGGCTTGGGACTTGGGATATCAACAGGTAGTAGCCGAAGTTGATAGTCAGTGCGTGGTACAAATGGTGCTGGGGCCCAAACTTCACTTTGGTGTCCATGAGTCTCTTGTGAGATCCATTAGAAGCATGATAGAGCGTGAGTGGAACGTTCGGATTAATCATGTCCACAGAGAAGCAAATTATGCGGCTGACCATGTGGCGAATTTAGCATCCTCTTACCCGTTAGGCCTCCAGAGGTTTCCGTCACCCCTCAAGGGATGAGTGCATGGATTGACCATGACTTCCGTGGCGTGGCTTACCCACGTAGCGTTCTAGTATCGTAATTCTCAGGTCTCTGACCTCCATATTTTGTACCAAAAAAAAAAAAAATTAGTACTTAATAGTAAAACTTTTTTTTTAACTATAACTCAATTAGTTAAGACTCGAATAGAGATTGAACGAGTCATTATAATATTCACAAACGAGCCATTAATAACAACTCAAGTCGATAAAAGCTCGTAACAACTCAATTCGATAAAAGCTCGAGCTCAGTATTAGAAACTCAAGCTCGACTCAGTCTCATTTACACGTCCATGTGCTGAACTATAGAGCACTCTGCACATAGTTAAGACCCAGTCTTGATTGGGTGCAGGGAAGACAAGGCATTTATATGTTCATTGTTGAAGAACTTTTAACATGATGTCTCTCGGCCTGCACATAGCCTCGAGCGGCTCCAGCTTAAGCATCGTGAGCCCGCCTCCTTCACCCAAATCCACTTCCTCCTTACCCACTCTCTCCCAATCAAAACACTGAACAAGCACCCCCAATCCCAAGCCCACCATCCTCTGGGCCAGACCAGCCCCCGGACACGCCCTCCTCCCCATCCCAAACGCAATCAACTTTTGCACCTGATCCACATCATACCTCTCGGGCTTGAACCTCGTGGGCTCGGCCCAAACATCCGGGTCTCTCTGGATGGCCCATGCGTTGACCATAAGTATCGATCCACGCGGGACATCGAAGCCCCCGACCTTACAGTCCGCCGAAGATTCTCGGGGGACCATTAGGGGCCCGGCTGGAAACATTCGCAACGTCTCTAGGACAATGTTAGCAAGGTAAGGCAGATGAGGCAGGTCCTGTTCTTCCAACAGACGGTTAGGCCCGACACGCGAGTCGAGCTCGGATTGGGCCTTTCGGAGAAGTTGTGGGTGATTGAGCAAGAGGGACATGGCCCATTCTATAGTCCCGGCAGATGATTCTGTGCCAGCAATCATAATGTTCTAAGGATATAATGAGAAAAAAAAAAATACAATTAGAGCAATAAAGAAGATATTATTATGATAAAAATGATGAAGTAAAAAGTAAAAACTACTACTCTTACGGTTATAAAGCCCTTAATGATTTGATCCGTGTAGAATTCCGGGTCGGATTCTTGCAGAGACAACAAATGGCCGATAACGCTGCTTGCGTTGCTCTTATTGTCACGGCGGTGCTCCTCCAGCAAACCCGTGTAAAAATCGTCGAGTTTTTGGGCAAGGGTAGCCATTTTCTTCTCCAGTCCTCTGTAATCAATCCACCTCAAGAAAGGGATAAAATCCTCTGGATTTGCCGACTGCGCGTGCTCGAGAACCTCGCTCACCATCTCGCGAAATCTCTCCCCCAAGCTCTCCTTTTCCTTCTTTTCTTTCTCGTTCCTGTACCGCTTGCCGGCGAGCATCCTGGTCACGGAATTGAAGATGAATTCGAAGATAATTGGCCGCAGCTCCACCTTTGCGTACCTTCTGTCCCGGCGGCGAATTAGGGTTTGGGCGATTCTCCTGATCTCGTCCTCTCTGATTTTGGAGAAGGCGTTGAGTCGGGCGGGGGAGAGGACCTCCTCGGAGGCCATCCGGCGGAGGTTCCGCCAGCGGGGGCCGTAGGGTGCGTCGGACACGGTGGAGTGGCGGTAGCCTATGTGTTCGCCCACGAGGACGTGGGGACGATTGCAGAGGATGATGTCGTTGGCGCCGGAGGAGCAGTCGGCCGCCATGGCCGCGGAGGACACCACCACCATGCGGCGGGAGCCCAGGCTGAGGGAGAAGATGGGGCCGTGTTTCTGGGAGAAGTGGTGGAAGGTGCGGTGTAGGGGCCGTTTGAGGAGGTGGAGGTGGCCGAGGACCGGGATTGCCGGAGCTGGGATCGGGGGCAGGCGGTGGATTTTCTTTACCTTTGACAAGTATTTGTTGTTGATGATTATGAGGACGATGAGAAACAGAGCAAGTGAGGTGTAGAAAATGGTGAGTTCCATTTCCTTGTCTTTTCCCCCTAATTTTACGGTTTTTGTGATGACTAAATGCATTTACGGCTAGGAAATCTTGCATTTTAGTTTCATGTACGAGAGTAATTGCTTCAATTATTTGATGTCATGTCTAGAAAGTTTTAAGTAGTATGAGATCATCCATCATTAATTTTTAAATCTATAAATTCAATCAAAATTGGTTTTATTTTTAATTAAAACCTCACTCAATCATCACCTACTAAATCAACTTTATCAACAAATATATATTATACCATCAAATAGCTGTATGGAGTGATACCGAATGAATAATCAAGAGGTGTGCACCTCGAATTCGAGGTTGAATCGAGTTCGAGTTGAGTTCGAGCTTGATGAGTATTTCAATTTCAAATATACATAAAATCACCTTCGTAATATCCATAACTGTATCCTTTTTTTCTTTTTTAATTGCAATTTCGTGTCGAACTTAGAACCAACCAAATTTGAGTTGATCTCAACTGTCAAAGTTTTTTTGTTGAGCCAAGCCAAGCCAAGCCCAGCCCAGCCCAGCCAACATATTCTGCTCGTCGAGCTCAAACTTGAGCAACAGTCAAAATAATTGAGCTAAGATAATAGTGGGCTCGGACGGGCTCATCTGAGGCTCCTCTTGGAAAATAAGACGTAACAAAGATTTGTTGGTATTTTATTTATTTATTATTTATTATTTAAGCCGCCAGACGTCAATCAGCTAATTACAATTGTTGAATCATTTTTCGTGTTATTAGATCTCAAGCCGCCAGTGCTGAATATCATTATTATAATTATATCTGCCCTTAACCATTTGTGATCTCATGGATGACGAAATTTCACAATCCCGTCAAAAAATAATGTTCTCCTACCCACGATGGGACCGTTGTGGCATGCACACATTAGTAATGTTAATATGCTCAAAAAAATACATCACCAATGTGTGCATGTCACATAAGCGGTGAGCACATTAATATGTGCCCACCGTGGGCAGGGGCATTACTGTCCCACCAAAACACTTCTTCACATCTATAGTTGCAGCTTCAGAGCCAAATCTCATGTACTAGCAATGATTTTTTTTTATTTTTTTTTTTATTTTTATTTTTTTTGATTTAATAGTACTTTGATATCAAATATGTATCCATGTCCATATACACACTTCCCATGATAAGCTCTTGGAATTCAACACACACTATAAATTGGCAAAACTATGAAGAGTTTTTAAAAAAAAAAGCATATAAGATTTTACATTCTACATACAGACATTTCTTATAAAACGAGCTGCTGATCTAATTCTAACCCATATTTTATGTATGCCTGCTGTAAAATCATCAATAGGGTCCCGAGTCACCGTAAAAAAATCACCATCTGAGGATTTTGTAATTCGTGAAAACTAGTCGAGTGTCCTTACACTTCAAATTTATTACATTTTTTCCAACTATAGAATAACGATTCGAAAAATTTTTCGAACAGGGGATGGACTTCAAGAGTTTTAGAAGAATTGAGATGAAAAAAAAAAAAAAACTATCACAGATAAGTTGGTTTACAAGCAAACCAACTGAATATGATTGATTACTGGCAAAAATTCGAGCCGAATTCTTGAAAATTTCTCGGAGAGTACAGTACATTGTGAGGATTAGCTCTTCAAATAATATTGTTTAATAGAACAGAAAATAAAATGAATAGACCCATAAAAAAAAAAAAGTAGAAAAGATCAAGGATCATGCTATTAGCTATATTCTGTCATCAGTGACCTGTTCCACGGCGACTCGGACCTGAATACGCTCGTCTGATCGAAAAAACAAATTCCGAGCGCAAATCCAGGTTGTGATAAAATGGCCGGTTTCCCTCTACTTCGATTGCATGATAGCATAATATGATCAAGAAGAAAATATAAACAGGAACAAAGTATTTAAGAGCTCCCATGATCATCAATTTTTTGTATGTAATGTATCTGTGTATGTCTATCTTAGGAGATGATTGCTTTAACAACTGGGATATATGTACACTCGAAGATAAAATTTTTAGCATTAAATCATGCAAAATGTAGAAGTTCAGTTTTTGAGCCTGTTATCAAGGGTGCTTGTCTCTGACCATTAGAACAAGAAACTAACAACTCCACTTCCTAAATTGTGGCTTAAGCTAATCAATTCTGGGCTGTTGGGTTTGTTTTGTTCTATTTTTTGCTTTGATTTGTTATTTTTAATGTTGTTTCACAAGTTCTCGACTTAGTATGACTAACCGTGGGCCCTCCACACACCCGAGATCATAGGCTATAGTGGAAAATAAATTACGGAAAAACTTCAATACGTTAGCGGATTATCTACGTACGGACCACAAATAGCAGCTTTGATGGACGACCCAACTGTGGCGAATGGCGCCAACATTGAATTTGGATTAAGTTTATATTAAGTGAATATTTTTCTTGATTCTACTTATGTTTATCGATCGTTTTTTTTTTTTTTTAAATTCTACTTACGCGTGTAAGATCGCCTGCTTTTTTGTGCTGACTAATTTGTTTTCATGGTTTTGAGTTTTTCTGTTCTGGGGGTATGTTGATTGTGCTTTCTTGTTGCAGTTCTGTTTATTTCTTGAACAATTGCAGCCATTGCTCAATGTTTAGCATATATCTCTCTGTTGGTTGTCGCCTTGTTTTGACATTTTTTTTTTCTGTTCTTACCGAATTTGATTTTTCGAAGTTGTTTTCTACGACTTTGGACAGATTTAGGAAGAATGCTGTGAGAACTTTGATTAGAATGCTCATCATTTCATGAAATAAACACCAAAAAAAAAAAAAAAAAATGCTGTTTAACCAAGGGGTAGAATGAAAAAAGATCGATGGCAGACGGATTTTCATTAACAAATTGCTTTTGCTATGTTTTGAAAGGGAATACAATCACCTTGCTCTTTGCTATCCTCAAACAAGATTACAATCAAAAGCCTAACGTTCTACATACAAGTGAAAACAAAACATCTCCCCTACTTTTCTAGACAAATTGTTGAACGAAAACCCGTGAATTTCCACGAATTCCTCACTCGAACATCATCCCACCGACAAACACTCGTATTCACATCACAAGAAATCGGCCCATTCTTTTTCCTCCTTAATCCTCTCCAATACCCCATCAAGAGCAATATCAAAAGCATCCTTAAAGCTCTTGATATCCCCATTCGGTTTCTTGTAAATTATCCTCGGTATAGTCTCCACCACTTTTTCCCTCTTCTTTCGAATTTCCTCTTTGCTATAGCCCGACAACACTTGCTTTACAGACACCGTGCCATTCTTAACCCCTTCTTGGTCTATAAAAACCGAGAAGCTGTCTGGATCACCCGGCAAGAACCACTCATACTGCTCGTAAGAAGTCTTTGTGAAAAAAACAGGAACCGAACCAGATACCATGCAGTCGAAAACTGCCCGGCTCGTGAAACTTTCCCTTTTCGGTTGTAAACAGAACTGAGACCCCAAAAGTGCACTCAAAATCACCGACGAGTTAGTCGGGCACTCAGTCAACGCGCAGTCAACGGCCCGGCACAAGCCGGGTTGGTTCTTACAGTAGCCCATCAGGTGGGCCCGGAAATCATTTTGGGCCCACTCGCCATTTGTTTCCTTGATAAAGGTGCAAAGGCTGGGCCGATTGCAGGCCCGGATGAAATTCTGCCACTCGGTGAGTTGGTCCTTCGTCTTGGGATGGAATCCGGTGGGGTAGGGTACAGTGACGTCCATCTCGTCTCCGGGGTATTTCTCCACGATGAGGCGGGTGACTTTTTGCATCAATGGCATGTTGAGGAAGCTGGAGCCCCACGACCTGCCCGGGTCGGTCAGCCGCCGGAAATCCCAAGTGATCCGGCCGATCGTCATGAAGTGGTCGGAGCCGTTGGATTTTTTCCAGTAGATCTGGTTCCGGACCCACCGGAGCATCATCTTGCAGTGGCGGTCGCGGCGGGAGGTGTCGTTCGACCAGAGGTTCTTCCCGACGGCGAGCCCGGCGTAGAAAGGGATGTAGAACGCCGTGGCGGACTCCGGCGACGGGGACCGGCACCTGTGGCGGAGGACGCGGTGGTGGAAGATGACCTCGGAGGTGAACTGGTTGGTGTGGTACCAGGATTTGTGGAGGTCTCCGGGGAGGATGCGGCGGAGCTCGGCGGCGGCGCGGCCGTAGCCGTGGTTGGAGATGATGCCGCACTCCCAGTTCCATGGGTCGAGGTCGGTGCAGCCTCGCACGACCAGATCCCGGTGGAAGGCGGCGGGGAGGTCGTAGACGTAGATCCTGCCGGAGGGGCAGTCGTCGTTGTAGAGAGAAGCGGGGGATTGGGGTCTGATGGTGTTGGCGGGTGCGGCGTCGGTGGGGAGGGGGAGGTAGCGGACGGCGGCGGAGACGGCGACGGGGACGGAGCGGTCGGGGAAGCAGGGCGGCGGTGTGCGGGCGATGGAGATGATGAGGGCCTGGAGCCAGAGGAAGGCGATGAAGAGCCAGAATCTGGGGTGGGAGGTGACGTGGATCTTGACGGTGGTGAGGGCGTAGCGGAGGGTATTTGTGTTTCTGGGCGGAGGTTTTTTCAGGGTTTCCGGCGAGGAAGAAGGAACCATATTTTTAGGTCAGGCGTGCATATGTAATTGTAGGAAAATGCACGTTAAGAAACCATGATTTTTTTGTAATTGTAATTGGGGGAGGAAGTGTGTTGAGAGAGTGTGATGAGTAGCGTGATTAATGCTAACCGACACGGGATAACGTGGCCTGTTTTTCTTTCTTTTTTTTTTTTTTTT